ACTGGTCCTTTGTGTATAAAACTGGACAGAGTTAAAACAACAGACTCATAATAAACATGAGCAAACACTTTTGTCCTGTGGCCACTAGCATAAATGCTAATAGCATTAGCTTGTAAAAAATCAACACATCAAAATACCATGTTTACCTTCTGGTGAACCTATTAGTCATGTAATAGTGCTATAGTAGCTTCACCTTCATCTGGAAGTGCAAAGGATTTACTCAATTGCCATTAGCTTCAGCTGCAAGTGTTACCAAGGACAGAGGATCCTTCACTGGGGTACTAGCAGTGAGCATTCCAAGTTTTAGAAAGCTGAAAAACAGGAAAAATGTTAGTAGAATCCATACTCGGGTACATTTGACAATACAGCCTCAAACACAACAACATTTTACAGCTATTGCCAAAGCCTTGTCTGTTATGTTTCATGCTGACTCGATGCATGTTGTCCACCCACACATATAGTCCATCATTATGTTTACAAACATTCTGAATTGGTCCACTAGTTAAATCTGTGCAGTCAAGGGATTGCAGGTGATTGTTGTACAAATGCACCTGTATCTGAAAGGTCCAACCTTTGGTGGGTCACTATCATGGCATAACTAACACCATAAAGAGAAAAGAACATTCCAATCAACTCTATGACAAGGTGATTGAAAAGCATCACCAGTCAATGGGTACAAGAACATTTTCAAGCCTGTGAATATGCCTTGGAGTACAGTACAAATCAGTCATTATGAAATGGAAAGAGTATGGCACAGCTGTAAATCTGCCAAGAACAGGCCGTCCACAAAAACTGTGCAATCGAGCAAGAAGGAGACTAGTGAGGGAGGCCAGCAAGAGACCAATGACAAAAAGTCTCAGTTGCTGAGATTAGCAAGACTGTGCATACAACTGTTGCCCAGGTGCTTCACCACTCACAGCTTTATGGCAGAGTGGAAAAAAGAAAGCCACTGTTGAATAAAACTCACATGACTACTTGGTCACAGTTTCCTAGAAGGCACATGGAAGTCAGCTGGAAGAAGGTTCTATGGTTTGAGGAGACCAAATTTCAGGCCATAAGACTATGCCACTGCACAGCATCATAAGCACACCATCCCCACCATGCAGCTTGGTGATGGTAGCATCATGGTGCAGGGATGCTTCTCTGCAGCAGGCCGTGGAAGGCTTGTGAGGGCAGAGCGTAGAGGGAATGCAGTAAAATTCCCAGGGAAATTCTGGAGGAAATCCTTATGCTGTCTGAGCATTGGGAGATGATCTGTGAGCATGACAATGACCCCAAAAATACAGCCTAAGTTACAGAGGAATGGCTTAAAAACATCAGTGTGAATGCCTTGGAGTGGCTGAGTCAGAGTCTAGGTCTCTACTGGCTGGGCTTTGAAAATGTTTTTTCTCACAATCTACCAGCAACCTGGCAGAGTGTGAGTAGAAAAATTGCATGAAAATAAATTATAATAAAACATGAAAACTTCCAAGCAGGTGAACTCTTAGGCACTGTATACACATATAACCAAGAGCACAAATCTAAGCTATACCCAAACACAAGTGGGCCTCTTTCATCCTTTTTTTCTTATGTTTTACTCTATTTTTAAGGACATCTACTCCTCACAGGTGTAGAAATTTAACCACACGCACACATAAACGTACCAAAACACTTTTGTTCACACATGCTTTGACCACAGATGGCTTACTGCTTCCTCAAACTCCTGCTGGATTCTTCATATAAATCTGACAGCATCTTTAAGCTTATTATGTAAATACAGACTGTTAGCTGCAATGTGGGTTTGAATCACGTTTATTTTTATGCCTTGCAATATGCCCTGTTGCTTTGTTAGCTGCACCAAGCCACTTTGACAGTAAAATACCATCTTGATATCATCTTCAGCCATAACAGGTGAAATAATTTGACTGTAGAAGTTGGTGTAGTAAGAGTCATTTCTGACATTGTCTTCTCTTCAGCAGGACATGAAAGCAGAACTTCTTTCTGTAGGGCTGTGGGTAGTGCTGGTTCATCTGAAAGTCAGGGGGAGTGTCAGAAATACTCATTTCCTTTAACTGGAAGTCCTGGATGAGTGCAGGCTGACTGGAGGAGTGAGGCAGTCTTGGTTTCTACAAAGGCCCATGAGCTGTGACCTCAGCTTGACCTGTGGTCCGTCTGGCTTTCACCACTGGCAGTGGCATCTGAGCGCCAGCGCTGGCCCAGCTTCAGACTCCATCAAAATTACATGCTGGTACACTGGAGCCTGCCCGCTGCATTCCTCTCCGGGTAAAATGTCCCAACATCGCGCAGCATTCTTTTCAGACTCTATGAAGCTCTTTCTATCACAGAACATCTGCATCACAAACAATGCTGTTACAGAGACAGAAAGAGACATACCAGCTTTAACCTGTAAGCTTTTTGACTGATCTGTTAAAAAGAGCAGGGGGTGGGGGGTTCTGAGCCACACTGCCATTGAGAAGTTTGTAGGACATTGGCCAGAGGCATGGGATTACACTGCTTAGAAGAAAATTGAGAGAGTGAGAGAGAGAGAGAGAGAGAGAGAGGATGGAGGAAAAAGGAGGAAAAGTGCCCATGGTGACACAGATGGCTGCTGAAATGAGTGTGAGTGCTCTAGTTTAGGATGCCATCATCTTCACATGTCTGCAACAAAATGCCAGCGCTGAGATTATAGCACCTGCTCTGCTTATTTTTCCGTTCTCTGCTTTAGGCTTTAGAAAGACTGACCCTGCTCTACTGCCAACACATTTCTAACAATGAACCGTTCCCTTTTTACATTAAAGTTCATTTGGCTTAGTTGCATAAATGACTCATATTTAACTTCATGGTGGACATGGTCAGAATCCTGTTACCTGTGCTCTGTCAAAAGGAAATCAGAATGGAATTTTCACCATTTGTTGATTCAAGCGTTTTAATCTTTAACATTATGTCTTATGTCTTATTATGTTCACATTTGGTCACAGTATTAAAAATACAGGTTCTTAAATGGTTCTAGGCTTCGATGTGTGGCTTTAAGACAAACCTTTAATTGGTACAGAACCTTTGCATTATGTATTTTTTTTATTTTATAAATTAAGTGACATTTCAGTCTTTGAGATGTAAGTGACTGAATGTGTTTGAAGTCATTCAGTGTGTTTTGCTGTGAATCTAACATCTATTCAAAGGTTCTTCTATATTCTTCTAAGACATCACCCCAACCAACCCTTTCATAGTCACTCAGCACATAGATTACATCACTAGTCTTCTTAATTTGTATGGTAACACTTTATTTGGAGTGGTCCTCTGTAGATGATTAATAAACTCTTAACAGATTATCACTAACACATCAACAACATATCAGTGAAGCTGCAGCAGTAACGCATGTAAATAGACTGAAGTAAATATCTTCTAGATGTACTGTTGATCTTAATCCTCACATGTGTTCGACATGCTACTGAGAGTCCGTTGAGTGTTAGTTTCATGTAACAGGACCACTCAAAATAAAGTATCAGCATTTGCATTACTTTTTTATTTTATTTATTTGTTTGTTTGTTTGTTTGTTTTGATCTTTAAAAAAACTTTTATGGAATCAGGATGATTTACAGTATCCCGCAACAAGACACCCACACACATACGCTGTCACACGTCTCTGGCCCAGGATGACTATCAGTGGCTTGAGAGCCTCTTTCTGTCCCTCTGAGGTCAGTAATGGTTCATATGTATACTGTGATGTTCTGCAGATGTTTGTGAGGAGTCTCATAGAGCATACCCATTTAGTGCGTACAATAGTTCCCCTTGGGTCCCATGCAAATTGAGACCTCATCAACAAGGCTAATGGTGTCGGCTAATACCCTGCTGCTCCTGCCGTTTCTTTCACAATTGCCTCTAAGTGGAAAATCATTGATCTGCTTCATTTGATTTCTTTCTTTTTTTATCATCAGCTGTGATGCCTGCATGTGTTTGTGCTAAGATTACTTTTTTATTGTTTGTCTCATTATATTCTGCCTTGGACATGAATATGGATGCCACAGTGAATCCTTGGGGATGTAATTAAATGATATTTAAGCCCATTGGATTGAAAAGAAGGTGGGGAGAGACAAACAGGATTTTAGTATTGTTTTGATGCAGGAGTGAACGTACTGAGAAAGGCAGAAACAGAGCTTGCTCTGAACATCCACACACTGACCTGCTACACTTTATACCAAGAGAAAACATTTATATTATTGAAGTATTTCTGTATTAAATCTTCCTTAAAGAAAGGTGTTATTCATTGTAAGCACACTGGAAACTTTTGCTGGATCCCTCTAGTGGACACTATCGTTTCTTACTTACTGCTTCCTTAGCTTATAGCCTTCTTAGCTGCATGAATGTGTTGGGAGGCACAGGAAGAATGGAGAAAGCTAATAAAAATGGAAAATTGTTCATAATAAGAAAGTATCATTATTATTATTACTATTATTTTAATAGTAATAATAATAATAATAATAATAATTATTATTATTATTATTATTGTTGTTGTTGTTGTTGTTGTTGTTGTTGTTGTTGTGGTGGTGGTGGTGGTGGTGGTGGTGGTGGGGGTGCTATCATCATTATCATCATTTCTCTTCTACTTTTTCTTCTTCTTATTATTATTTTTAGTTGTACTAATAGTAGTATTGTGGTTGTTGTTAGCATAATCATCGTCATTATTATATTAGTAGTAGTAGTACTGTTGTGGTGGCAACAATAGAGGTGTTGCTGTTAGTGATGGTGTTGCTGGTGATTATGATTAGCTAGTAGTAGTAGAATTGTTGTCATCACCATCATCATCATCATTATTATTATTATTAATTCCTTTTCATTAGTATCCTGTTTGTTGATATTTTCTTCAGTGCTAAGACTGTACAGCTCCACTGCTGCCTCTGTGTGGTTTTTGATCTAAGACTCGGTGACGCTGATCCCCCTCCGTCCTGAGCAGGAGGGGAGGATTGTGGTGTGGAGTGGGAGGGGAGGGGGTGGGCAGTGGAGCGCATGCGCAGAAACGCAGGCAATGGTTGAAAACTAGCAGTTATGCCGCTCAGCAGACGAGCCTAATTCAATGGTACTGATCAGAGCATCCGATCCGCACGCGCTGGAGGCCACCGGGCAGCTCACACACACGGCGAGGAGAAGTTTGTGTGGACAGAGCGCGAGCGCGAGGGCTTCTCCGGATTTCTCTCCAGCTCGACGGCTCCTCCATTCCTCCTCCTCCTCCTCCGGCTCGGCAGCGGTCGACACATCCTCCCCAATGTTACCATCCAACTGAAGCGCGGGGATTTTACCTCTTCCAGCTGTTTTCCTGACTATTAATAAAAAAAAACAATAGCCAAAACCTGAACACGGGTCACTATGTTTTTGTTACCATTCCATACTAGGAGGCGTTTGACTAGCTTTTGTCCGGGGGCGTTGTGCTTGCACTTCATGCTCTGGATTGTATGTGCCGTTTGCGGAGAGGAGCAGCCGTTCAGTGTGGAGGTAAGACTGGCCTTACACATACACACATGCTCTCAGTCGAGCCAAAACATTGCTTTGTTCAGTACCATTTCCTTTAGATCTCAGAGAATTCTCTGTTTTGCGGACTGTCAAGATGCAAAGCAGTGGCAGACTGGAGTAATATTGCTAATATTGCCATTTTGTCCAGCAGTAGTGCAGGGCAACTTATGAATGGCTAATCAGAAGCGCTACAGTGTACCTTGTTTTGCTGCAACTTCAACAAGACCCATGAACATCCTGGTGTTAATAGCATAACCCACCTTACATGACACAGTTTAATAAAACGCCTCAAATAAAGGCTCTTACATCCATCACATTCTTCTGTTTCCAGAAGAAATTCAGAGGCTGTCTGGAGCTGAATGTTTGATAGGCACTATCACAGATTAATGGTTTGACAACACTGTAGTCTGTTGTCTAGCACTGTACCATATGCTGTATCAGCAATTGAGCACATTTGAGTGTCACTTGCCCAGCTGGTTCTCATTGCCTCATGTGTACACAAAGCAGCACACTTACAGTGCAGAACACTTAGATATCTATAGGTTGCAGTGCACATGGGTTAATGCATCTTCTCCCTTTCTAAAAACTGCATACATTACTTAGCCCAGCGACAGGGCTGTTGTCCAAAACACATCCAGTGTTATTCATCATGATGTTTGTCTGTAATTTTCTTCTGGATAGGATGCCTGTTAAAGCTGGTCACTTGTGCTTTTATGTTGGCATGAGGGCGGAATAAATCAGCTTGATACAAGTTGATATTCAGCCAACAAACTCTGAGCAGTAACCAGAGAGGAGTCGGCTAGTCTTTACAAATATTTTAATGTAACACGGTGAGTGTATCACCATTTCTCCTTACCTTGTTTAATTCAGAAACAAAGCCTCAGGGCTTGGGATTGGTTTCCTTAACTGTTCATGCGAGAGGGCAAACAAGGAACATATAAACATTGTGGAAGCAATAAAATCCTGTTTTGTGTTTTTAAAAAGTACTTAAATGTTGAAGAAAACTCAGATGTCTGTTTGAAACAGACAGAGTTTGAGTATGTAAGCCGCTGCTGTGCGGTCACAAATTAAACTCAGACTTAATCTTTCTGATCCGAAGCCCATCAATAGGCAAATCAGTTCTGGAAATTGCAAAACGGACTCAGTATTTTGCTTTTAGGCAAACTGACTGAGAGATTGGGATTCTGAGAACTCAGTGGGACCAAAATAGAGGTTAAGCTATTTTTAAGACAAAAGTTGCCACAAACTTTTTCATTGGTTTGAACTTTTCAATAGGGAGATATAAAAGGAGTAAGTCTCTGTATGAGTGTGTGGAAGGAGAGAAGGTCTCACTTTGGTTTCTGGTTAGTTTTCTATTCATCACCCAAAGCAAATCAATGAGTATAGATGTTTGCTGACTTTAACAAATGCTCATACATCAATGTTCAATCAGCAGACAGAAAGAGCGAGACATGTTCATATGCACTTTCCACCCCTGTGGTGGTAAAAATGGAAGGTGGTTAAGATCATAATGGGTTATTGCTGTGGTTTGGCCTTTGTCCTGCCTCAGTCTGGCAGTGGTTCATCTTTGTTGCTGTATTCTGTGGACACAGACAGACAGAGGGAGTCTTAAGAGTTATAGAGGTACAGCATGAGCCAGAGTCGCTTTTTTTTCCTCAAATAACAGCTCTGGCCTGTAATAAGGCTTTAGCTGTATCCTGGCCTGCTCTTGTTGGTGGAGCTGCTTTTTGAGCCGGCCTGAAGGACGAAGGCCAGTGGTCATACATCAGCACCTTCGACTCCACCCATCCACCCCAGAGTATGGACACAACTTGACCCCTGCACTCTCCCAGCTCCCTCTCCTCCTCTCTCAGAGTTCTTCTCTGCTCTCTGCCTTCACGCCTTTGTTCCTCTCACTCGCAGCTAAGAAGGCATTTCCTCAGATTAGTACAGTTCTGCCACAATGGCACTGACACATTTAATTTCATTTGTTTTGTAATGGTCCCATTTCTTTTTCAAATGGCCTCTCTTCCCAGTAGAGCTGAACATTCTTCTGTGTGTGTGTCATTATTAATTGCGTGTGACGGACAAAGGAGGTATTAACAAGTGCAGCAAAAAGGCGAGAAGGAGTGTTATGCAAGAATGCACAGGCAAAAGTATTTGATATTATAAAAGTCTAAATTATTAAGAGGAGACAATGCATGCATAATCTTTTCATTCCGCTTATCTCTCAGGGACCTTCTGCAGCCATTTTTTTTGTCATTAGAAAATTGCCAAATACGACTAGAAACAACAGCAAAGTCATTACTTCACAACATGGTTGATTGAACTCATGAAAGTGGAAAAAAATTGTTATTCACAATCATTCGGTTCATGGAGGCCTTTGTTTCCTTTTTTCCTCCAGATGAAGTCACTGTGTATTGCTGCAAAATCAATAATAATGCGATATTAAATAAGTAATAGGGCTGTCAGTCTCGTCCAACAGCATCTCATGAGCAAAACTCCATCAGTCTTTTAGCAGAAGTCTGTTGTCTCTGTAATGACGTGCTTGACGTAAATTTGAAGTGTTTGTCATTTTGTAGGAGATAATGTGCAGCTGCGTAGGTGTGCATGAATGGAGACGAACAAAGCGCCTTTCCGGCTTTCTTTCGTTATCTTTCAATTTTTGTTGATGTCATGATAAAACAGACAAAAGAACTTGGAAGAGGCGCTGGCTGGGATGGAGCGCTTTTTTTGTTGTTAATACTTGCAATGTAGGCAACTTCCTTCCTTCGCACCTTTATCAAAGCCTAAAAATGGCAGGCCTCTTTGTGCGGCTGAGGCGGTGTAGTGTTTTTGCATGAATGAGTCAAAGTGTATTCCTTCTCCGCTCAGTGTCAGGTGCAAAAGCATGGTGTGAGTCACAAAGATTTTGAACCCAACACGTCCACACACATGTACTCTACTGGACCACCTCGCCTCAGGTTTAGCTAGCATGAAAAAAACAGAAAGGAAACCAAAAAAAAAAGTAAAAACAAACCCACAGCCTCAAAGAGAATACACAATCATCTGAGCTGAGCATGATCCTGGCTATTTCACTTTCCCCCTTTTCAGAAAGCCATTGATGTAGAGAGTCCTGCTGGGTGCCGGTACGATAGCACTACAAAAGCTCGGCCACTGCACTCTCTGTGTTACTGTTCTTGACGACCCGGGCTGCTAGAGATCTCTCTGAATTATTGAAAGGAGCTGGTGTGATGTCCGACGCTGACGTGGCCGCAGCTGTGTCATGCTGACCAACATCAAGCTCTCCTTTAAAGGGTCATGAATGAACAGAAAAGTCACAGTGTTTATTAGTCTTGCTCCGCCACCCCTTCTGTCTGTTTATACGATGCGGTGGGGGCTAGTGTCTCAGTGTTTATGGCTGGGAAATAAACTCCCTCTAGAGTCGTTCCCAACCAGGGACCCAGCAAAAATCACCATCGGAATTGTTCTCTTTGATGTGAGCTTCCTGCCTACTGACCTACTACTGAACGGTCATATCAGAAGTTACCAGTGCTCCATTAGGGTGGACCATTTCAATTTGATGATGAAATCAAAGCTTGTGCTTTTTATACTCACTCCCTAGTGTTTAGTCTTGCTTCTTGAGCAATAAAAAGTGACAATATGTGCTGAAACCTGGTGCTGCTCTGCAAGCGCTGTGTGTACATTCTGTTTCTACAGTGTGTCATCATGAGAGAGAGATAGAGAGAGAGAGGGAGAAAGAGAGAGATGCTCTGTGCTTGGTACAGCATGTTGTGCTCACACATGGCCTTTCTGACGTCAGCTTGGCTTTGCTGGGTGAACAGATTTGTGCGGGCCCCTGGGGTGGATACGATATGTCAGTCTGTTTACCTATCCCACAGTCCTGCCGGACACCAGAGAGAGCACCAGCACACAGCAGAACACATTTATAATGAAAGAGGAGTTTTTTGTTCTCACGTATTTTCAACTTTTTGCCCCATAGCAGATTTCTGTGGAGCTCTGAGCTCTGTACTTTCTGTTCTTTGTAAGCCAGTCTCTTTCACTTTTTCTCCTCTTTCTCTCTCTCTCTCTCTCTCTCTCTTTCTCTTTCTCTCTCCCCTTCCTCTCTTTGTCTTTCAGCCCTGATCCAGGCATATTTTCCTCCTCTTTTTTCTTAGTCTTTCTCTCTTTTTCTTTCTCTATCTAGTTCTCTCTCTCTGTGTTTCTCTTTCAGCACTCTATTGCATTTTGTCTTCTCTCTCACTCTGTCTAGCTCACCTTAGTTGTTTTTTGCACTCTCTATTACTTTGTTTCCACTGTAAGTCTTTGTCTCTTCATATTTCCCTCTCTCATTCCTCCTTTGCTCTCTTTTTCTCTCTCTTTGCACTATCTGTTGCTTTTTGTGTAATCTCTCTTTCTCTCTCTCTTTTCACTCTATTGCTTTCTATCCACTGTAAGTCCCTCTCTCTTTCTTTCTCTCCCCCCTCTGTCCTGCTGTCTTTCACTATTATCACTATATCACTATTATCACTATATCGCTTAACGTTGCTCTTTCTCTTTCTCCCTTTTCCTCCTTCCTTCTTTCCATCTTTCTGTCTCACTGTCTCTCACTACTACTGTTTTCATCTTTCTCTCTGTGCCCCAACCCCCACCCCCACCCCCCCAGTTGTCCTTAGCTCTGTGGAGAGCTGCTGGAAAAGGCTGTGAAAAGCATTTGCTGCTATTCAATCTTTAATGTTGTTGACAACTCCAGTGGTGATGAACAGAAGCACATGGAGACAGGAGGTACTCTCAGCACTCATGACAAGTTTTCGTGGCATGACACTGTGAGAGCATGGGGAAATGTCACTCCCGTGCCTCAGTTGATTGAGTTTATGCTGCACGGAACTCTGCTCTGCACTTTGCAGACAATGGAAGAAAAGAAGTTGACAAACGATTTGAACTCTTATGCTATGGCAACCAGAAACTTTTCAAGAGTTAAAAGATTCATCTAATGAGGGAGTTGGGCACAGAAATGACTGGAA